GAAGATTAACTACAAGATTAAAATAACTACAAAAAAATCATAACCTCCTTTATAGCAACTGAAGTATTTTTAACTGTGTGTGTAAATATATCTGACAAGTAAAAATGGAAGACAAATACTATTGCTTTGTTCCAATAATAGAACATTAAGCACTCTTATTATTTAAAACAACATACTAGGTTTAGATATCAATTTAATTGCTAAAAATTCAAAGTCTACCATTTTTTTTTTAATTTCATTTAAGCAAAGGCCTGTTTCTTTCAGATGACACTTGGAGGCATTAACAAAAAATGCTACACTGTCCTGAACCAAACCAGGGCTAAGTACATACAAACTTCATTCCTAGAAATGCACTGCACTGTTTGCAAGTGTTTGCTTTTACCTTGGCACTATCACATAGGCTCCAGCTAGACTTTTGAGACCTGGCAGCAATCCAGGCTGCAGATGGTTGGAAATGCAGCCTGAAATCAGTGTGTGGTTGATGAATTACTCCTTACACCTGACCCCTACTTCACACCAGGCACCAAACACAATCTGAACACTGCCAGGCAGAGAAGCCCTGTCAGGCATCTCGGTATCTGGAACTCTTCCTTCAAGGCCTTCTGTATGGCCAGATGGCCAAAAGTGGGGAATGCAGTAAATTAACTAAACAGCAATGTGAGCAAGAAAAGAGCACGGATTGGTTAGTGCAAGGTGGTGGAGAGGAGAGAAATGTGTGTGGGTTCCAGTAATTTTATTTTTAAATGAGGCTGATACAAGGGGAGTGGAAGTAATTTGGTCAGAAATAGCTGATAGGACTTTTTGACCTGTCATATCAAAGAATGCTTTAAAAATGTTGGTAAGGGAATGGAAGAAGATTTCAGTTTTAAAAAATATTCAAATTATTTTTGTTTTATGCTTAACAGCTTCAGCATTATAACCACTTCCCAGGGTTTTCCTCACATTTGTGCAAACTCTGTTACAGATCTATCTCACTTTTTAATCCACTCTTGTTCACATTCCAATTTGTTCACTTTTCAGTTACCATCCACCAACAGTGGGTTTTTAATTCTACCAGAAGCTGGGAAATTGCTGTGCTTCCTATTGCACATACTCACATGTGTAGCAAGATGCTTATATACAAACAGAGGTATTCCTTATTGGTGCTGCAAATGCCTGTTGCTTGGTTATCATGTTTTAGCCAACCAATCATAAAGCAGAGTCAATGCCATGCAAGTTAAGTGACCAAACACAAACCATGATCATAATAGTGAATTATCTGAAGATGTAACAATGTAAAGAGCATGGGAAGAACTGGTAAAATGAAATATGACCATATAAAAACTTGGACAAAAACTGCAAAAATAGAAATTGGTAACAATCAAAGTGCGTCCACAAAAAACTGTGAAGAAAAAAAGGCTAAGTTTATTAAATGGATTGTTTACCAAGAACACTTCTCCAAACTCTAATTCTAACTTAAACAATAAAGCACAAGGACAAGACACAGCAGTTCCTACTTAAAGAGACTTTACAAATTTATGTAAATAATTAGGTTGACATTTTTTTCTGATGTAATTTCTAATCATCAAGAAAAATGTCATCTCTCTCAAATCTTGTCTACCTTTTTCCAGGGGCAATAATAATTCTGTTATTTCAAGCACAGAACTGAAGAAATTCAAGGAATAGTGCAATATTTGTTAACATGATTTTATAAGTGAGTATTTACAACACAGTTGCAGAAACCAGGTGTTTTATTAGTTGCCCATCAATAAAGAAACATACTAGTAAAGTTTCACTGCTTGCAAATCAAAATAAAATCAAAGAGTGCAGTAAATCATAGGTAAGCCCTGAGATAGCCGCATGTGCATGTGATAGGATCCTATCCCTTTGTAATCGTCTTTGTAACAAAGTATCCTCTTTTTAGTAATTTACAGCAATGCAAAAAAAAACTGCCGTGAAATACAATTCTTATTATGGCTAGAATAACTAGGTTCTGCTCCCAGGACTAAGCTGGGACAGTCTATGCAATTCATTCTAAGTTACAATACTCAGCTGGGTCACACAAAAATGGGGAAAAAATCCTTCAGAATTTCCATTTGTCCAGAAAGGAGATACTAAATGCACCATGAGTTTCTTTAAAAAGTGGAATCTTTCTTATTTCTGGATTATACAGTTTGTCCGAACTTGCCATTTAAGTTTTAACTTCAGTGGTGGCATCTTACAATTAGGGAATACATGTAAACTGAATTATAACATTGCACTTTTCATGTTCTACAAGAGGCCATGAAACATTTTAAAGTATAAAGCAATCAGAAAAACATATGGATCTTATTCTTCTATGTATAATTCTATAGGCCATAGAGCTATTAATTTGCACCATTACTGCTTAACAATATGTTAGCTATATTACAAGATATTACAGCAGATTGTATACCTTGTGACTCTTATTGTGTCTTGAACTCCCCCAAAGGCTGTGCTACACAGTGAAATGGTACTTCTTTAAGAACAGCCAAAATAAATTTACAATGCAAACAAAGAAAAATAAATACTTAATCTGAAAATGATTGGAAGACCATTACATTTCAGAACTTTGTGGTTTGTTTTAGATGTTATTCAAAAATACCCTGATAAAGCCTAAAAAATCTTTATATAGTTTCAAATTAATGCATTCTCCTTCACTGTGTACGGCTGTCCACATATGAACACAATTTACACAACTGAATTCAAGAATTGTGCATAACTCCCTATACCCAACACAGTGTCCAGAAAACAAAAAAGAAGTTGTGAACTTCACAGCACAGTTAAGCTAATACAGTGGTATATTAGCATGCTTTGCTTTGATAGGCATGATAACTGATATAGGTCTGCACCATAGTGTTATCTGATTACCTGAATATTAGCTTTAGACATACAATGGGTCTAACTGCTTTAAAATGTCCCAGAAGCTGATGGCTAGCTTTAAGGTAACAAAATCCAGATGCTGCCTGTCTGCACTACTCTGAACTCCTTAGGACTACAGCAGAAAAATAAATATATGTATATACGTGTGCATGCTATTTTTTTTAATTTAAGTTGTGTGTATGCGTGTGTGTATATTTGTGTGTATAGAGAGAGGAGAAATTAATACAATATGAAATATGTTACAGATGTTACTATTATCTTCTATTACTAAAATCGTGCATGTGTTTAATCCTAGACAACACATGACTTTTCACAAGGGTAGATAATTTTATATCACTATAATGTGGATTAACTGGTATTAATCTATTTTTCTAAAGTATCCAGTAAAAAACCACTGTGTAGAACGCAGTTGTCATTTTAAACTCCATCACAAGATTAATTTCTTCAAAAAGCATATTTTACAAAGTAGAAAAAGGAGTTAAAAAAGAAAAGACTGGAAAAAATCAAGCTACATGAGTAAAAGAGATGGAATGTCCAATATTTTTCATCCAATACTTGAGGCTATTGTTCTTTCAAAAAAATCCCATAAATTGTTTCATGTCCTTGGCTTGCCAGGTTTTGAGGAATGGCATCAGTCTCCATCCCCAATCCCCCAAACAGTTAAAGCTATAGGCAATATTGCAGTCAAGCTAGCGACGGGCTGCGCTGCTGCTGCAACAGCAACAATACAGACTAAATGGTCTCAAAGGTAAAATGCAATTTGAATCGACCTTGAAAAAAAATGGTGAAACAATTCCTCAACCCCCTCCAACCAAACCCAAACCCTGATCTCTCTCAAAAATGCTGCACATAATACTTTGAGAAATCATGTAGCAAACAAATGAAGGGTTACTCTGTTATGAATTACAAGACTATAATCACATTGAGTGGTTCTGGTGTCATCAGGACTCAAGCCAGCCAGTTTTCCCAATTAGTTAATTTATATACTGCAGGGAGCTGTCTATAAACATTAAAAGAAAAGTAATTTTATTAGCAAGGAAATATAACTTAGCCCTTCAGGACTGTAACTAGCTCAACGTGTCTGAAAGCAAAAGTACAGCTAGTCACCTCCCCTGTACGAAAAAAAAAGTCATATGCCACATGTGCTTACATTAGCTGCTGCTTTTTTATTTTTCTTTTTTTATAATGTAAGTGTATTGACTTAAACTATTAATCTGTGGTTCTGAGGTCACGCTTCAGAACAGTAATTTGTTTCAGGATGTTCTAACGGGTTTGCAAAGTTTTGTTTTGTTTTGTTCTGCTGTTACTGCCCATTGGTCACGTAAGAAACCTTTTTGGGCAGCGGAGTATGGCACAATTGTATTGGGAAAATAAAGGATTATTTAATTAACCCAAGTCCAGGTGGCATTTGCTTCATTCAGAATAGTTACAAGATGCAGGCCTGCCTTCCAAAGCCACTGACATTGGAAAAGAAAAAAAGAACGAAACCATGTTTGGTGCTTTTTTCTGAAAGTAGCCACTACCATCTACTTCCAGACCGTTTAAAAGCAACAGAGTGCAGCCAGCTCATCCTCAATATTTAATGAAATATTAAGAGCAGTTCAATATCTTGGAACAAACTCCCACAGATTTACAGGAGGTTAGCTTCTTGTCCTTCCCAGATCCTCGCAGCATCTCATACTTTGCTGATTAAAAGTTTGAGTATCCACAGACATCTTTTCTAATGGCTCAGTGCTTTTAAGCTCCGCATAAATTGTACAGATCACTGAAAGAGCCACTGAGACAGCATGTTTCCATGTCTGATGCTGTCCAGTGCAATCTTCATCCAATGTCATAATAATCGCACTACCTGCATACTGCTGCGATATTAACCACATTAATCCCCCCCAACAAACAACAAAAGGGATTAACTAAAGCTAGTGGTCCTTTAAAAAATCCACAGTCTTAATCTTCCTGTTTCTCCTATGCCTGGTTTTGCACATGATATTGAATTCAAGGAAGAAAAGAAAAAAAAAACCCCAAACCCTGTAATTTACGCCACTCCACTATCCATCATCCACTAAGTGCATAATGATATCATACTGAAACTGCTGGACAGACATGGAGCTGCTGTACCATACCTTGGTTTGGAGATAATGAGGGTAGTAGTAAGCGTACTGAGGGTACATTGGTTGCTGTTCCAAGCGTTTGCCCATGTAGCTGGAATCTTTATCTCCGATGCAGGGAACTCGTTGACAGGGTGTAGTGCCCCAGGCCTTCTTCCTCTTAAACCACTATTCCTGACAGTACTGATGACTGATGAGGCTTTCGAGACTTCCTTGCCTTCTACCGCTCACTAGTTCCAACACAGCAAGAATAAAAAATATATGGATTTATAGATAAAAAAAAAAACCAACAACAAAAAATCTTGCTTGGCTCCCCCACTCCCTCCTTCACTCAGGATACAGCGTTTTCTTGTCTAACCAGCTTGTCTGTAGTAATGTCAATTGCCAGTGTCTGTAGAAAAAAAGTCCTGTTAGAGAAATCAGGAAGACAGTGTAACTCCAAATCTCTGCAGACCAGCTTTCTTCCTCTCTCTCCTCTCTTCTCTCTCTCTCTCTCTCCCCTTCTCAAGCTCACTCTTTTTTCTTCCCTCTCTCCTCCCCACCCCCCCCTTTTTTTAAAAAGAAAAAAAAAAGCCTTTCCACAGCCTAGTTGCTGCTGTCTCCCTCACGGAGTGACATGGTGCTTAAGGCTTGTCTTGTCTTTCATTCAAACCCCCTCCTTCCAGCCGGTGGGTGGAACTACAGTGAGCCTCTCCCTCGAGAAGCAGACGCAGTCCAGAAGGCTGCAGTATTTCCTCCAAGAAGAAATAGCCTGCTTCAGCCCTTCTGCAAGCACAGTCCCGATTCCCTCTGCTGGCTATCTCGGAAAGCAAAGCAATTTTAACAGCAACGCTGCCGGGATAACTGAACCAGGGGACTTGCAATACTGGCAGTGGATTGCTTCTGATCAGGACCACCACTTCACAAAGTCGCAGCCCAAACAAACAAATGACCAAGAAAAGGCAGCATCTAGGGCACAAGAAAGAAATCCTGCAAAGAATAACCCCATTTCTTTTCTTTTTTTTAAATAAAAATAGACATCACAAGGGCTCAGCAAAAGAACCAGATATGATTTAAGCAGAAAGCTAATTCAGGCACTAACAGCATTTCACTGCACAGAAACACACAGAGGCTACAGACACCTCCTGGCCACTTTGCCAGATTTACTCTTTCAAACTTAGTTCCTTCCTGACATGAGTTTATTTAGATGTATAGCAAAAAGGGAGGAGGGGAAGGGAGTAAAGACGGAAATCACATCTCCTGAGCTCCAGGTGCGTCTAATACAGTTTTAAATACTCTAATACATTTTTTAAATACAAAGATGTTAAAACTACAGGCAACAATCCACTTGCACAATCCCCTAAGAGCAGCCCATCAGACCCAGGACTGCTAAACCAACCCTTACTGTGCCAATCTTTCCCCCAGAAGCTTAGGTAAAAGTGCTCTACAAGAAATCCAAGGTGTTTTGGAGCAATGTAAGCAAAGGTTTTAAAACACTGGTCTGAAGTTTTACAGGACAGGGTTCTGTCTTATTATATGTGTAGAATGTATCTGAAACATTCCCGGGCACTGTACAAATAAGTACATATTTCCTTCTGTGTAAAAATCCTAGCATTTATTTTACAAAATCATGTATTCCTTTAACATGTCATTTAACTAATAGATCTATCTTCAGTGGCTTTGCTATTTATAAATTAAAAAAAAAATACCGGGCAGTAGTTTCTTTTGTCTTTATTTAAATCATATGTAGTACTGTAGCAGGATTGTCAGCTGCTGTATTATCAACCAAATTGCTTTATAAAAAAAAATGTATTTCTTTAAAGGGACAGTTTTCAAGGCTGGAGGGGCTAAAATTAGACTTGCCAGCTGTGTTTTGGTTTGTGGGCACATGCGCGCACGTGACATGGGCTTGCAAATATCGCACTCTGCCGTACTTTTGTCAGTTTGCTGTTGCTTGTATTAAGGAGTCACATACGTCCCCCTAGCAAGTGGCAGAGCAAAAGTTGAGTACATGTTTGAACCAATGAAAGATGTACCATGGTTTTGTTTCATCACAGGGCTCCATTTAATATTAGCATTTAAACAGCATCTGACAATGGGAGCTGCAGCACACTGAGCTCCTCCAAAAATCTGGCTCGAGTTGTGGGCGCATTTAAAAATCAGGCCCCGTATCTCTAAAGCACTGCAAAGACAATAACTAACTAATCCTTTCCCAACACTCTTATGAGTAGGATAAATATTATCATCCCATTTTACAGATGCAGAAACAGACTGAGAGAGGCAAAAGGCTTGACCTTGTAAAGTTCTGAGCACCCTACAAAGTCACAGAATTCACTAAATCAGCAGCATAGGGATTCAGCCAGACATCCAGGGCACAGGGGTAATGGAAACTCCTGGTTACTGCTATGAACGCAATTGCAATTGCATAGCTGCTGGCAGCAGCCACCTTTTTTCATGCCTCTAGCCCAACTTGTTAAGTGCCCAATACCTTGAAATATAAGGCCATAATTGCCCAAGCCAAGAAAATCACACAGAACCAGGTTGAGAAATCTGACGTTCCTGGTTCCCAGTCCCATGCTCATTTCACATTGCCTCTGACCTATTACATGGTACTTAGTTTAATAATATTCTTGATTATACTATGTCTTTCTGTGTGTTGGGGAGAGAGGATGTGCATGTGTGAACTATATTGTTACAGGGGTTCATAGGTGTAATAAATACTTATTAATGATGCACTCTATTTTGAGGCCTGATGCATTTCAGATGATTCCTTCTTCTCCAGTCACATTTTACTCAGAGTTCTCTTTTACAGAAAATGTCAGTAGCCAGGGTCTAGAAAAGAATGCACTGTATATGTAGGAGGAAATAATCAAAATAAAAAATATGCCTAAACACAAAAGAAATAATGTTCTGACAAAGTTCTATCTAAAAGCATAACCAATTTTTCTACATGTGTAGATGTTATGATCATCTCTGGTATATGTAAGTCACAGAATTTCACCAAGTTGTTCCTTAAAAGAAAAGTTCAGGAAGCCCCATTACAAACATTGACAATTATGCTAGATAATATACGTAGTAGCAAAGGAAAGAAATCTGCAGTAGCAAAAAAGATGGATATTCTACTACCTCTCACAATAAATCTGAAATAGTTTCATATATAATCTGCATAACCTAAGCAAGCCACTACTTACATACTTCAACGCCTGCTAGGTTGAAGGTATCTCCTTAAAAATAGAAAGTGTTTAATGTCATTTTTTCCACTTTGCAAATTAATGCAGCACTTATATATTTTGGATGAAAGAATATTTTTACTAGGCATTCACTGAATGCATATATCTTTCAATTTAATACAAAGATGGTCCAAAAAAGGTTTCTGCAAGCATGATGGCTATAAGCCTATAGAACAATATATATTATCAACCCTCTGCCTTCTTTGGAAATATTTAACCCTTATCCTTCCACCAATATCCCTTCTTCCTGCCTCTTGGCAACATCACCATCCTACCTGTCACTCAGCCTCATAACCCATGCATCATCTTCAACTCAGACCTCTGGGTTCTATATGATATCTAAATTTTGTAGATCCCTTCTCTAATACATCTCTGAAGGCAGGCATTGTTTGCATCCACGCAGCTAACACTTGTCCAGAAATCTGTCTGATCATATCCTGATTATAAGAGCATGTTTTTCTGCCGTCTTGACAAATACCATCCTGTCCTGCTCACATTAATTCAGGAAGCTGATGAAAAGATTATTCTCCTAATCCAGAGGTTGACCTGTGGTCTGTGGGCTGGATTCAAACCCTGAAGAGGTCCAATCTGGCCTGTGAAGACCCAATTAGGCACAGAGGAGCTATGTCATGGAGCTGCACTATGCCACTCATCCCCTTTGCTGCAGAGCCTCCTGCTCTGCAGCATCTGAGTTCACCCTTGCTACCTACAACAAGGTTGGGTATCTGGCATCTGGGTGGTTGGAGTGGGGGAGGACAGACACTTGCAGCCTGCAGAAATGGCGGGTTGCCAGTAGGGGTGCACGAAGCGGGCCCTATTTGATTCCAATTCAGCCCTAATCAGGGACAGTGATTCAATTTGTTGATTCAGATGACTGTCCCTGGTTTAATTCAGCCAAATCAAAATTCAAAGATTCGATGCTGATTCAGAGAATCAGCAATTTTGACATAGAACAAGCTTTAAAAGTTTTTTCTACATACCTCATGGTACCAGCATGGCTTGTAAATGCTACAATGCAGAAGTACTTGGGGAGGTCCATTGGGGAGCATGTAGGGGGCCCCCCCTGCACTGCCCTGGCTCAGCAATCAGCTGTGGGGGAACCCCAGGAGCCCCCCCAGACCCAGGAGGCACCAATTGCCAAGCTGAGAGGTGGGGCCTGCACACTCCCCGGTGGACCTGGAAGTGGACTGGAAGTGCTCCTGGTTCACTTCCAGGTCTGCTGCCAACCATGCTGGGGAGCCCCCCGTGCTTGTGTGGGACACTCCATGTGCCCCAGCATCACAGCATTCATGAGCCACCTGCTACTTATCAGTATGTAGAAAAAACATGTAAAGCTGTGTCTGTGTCCGAATGGCCAAATCCTTCCAAATCGATTCAGAGGGTTCAAATTCAATTCAGAGAGATTAAAGGGTCCTCTGATTTGATTTGGATTCAGAGATTCAGCCATGAATCGTGCCGCATCTCTGCCGAATTGAATCAGGGACTGAAGCTTTGCGCAGCCCCAGTTGCCAGTCCCAGCCCACACCAGCAAAATGTTGCCAAGCACATTGCTTTGTACCTGGAACTTTTCTCTTCATGTCCTTCCACTGGCTCCTCCTTTTCTGTTACAATCAACTTAGACCACCTGTCTTGCTTTCAAGATCCTTCTCCTCAACATATCCATACCCTACTTCTCTCTCATTTGCTGTCAAAATGCCAACACTTACCTCCATTCAGATCGTGATGCCAGGCTTCAGTTTCCACTTGTTAATTCTGAAACATGCACCTTTGTGCTTTCTCCCATGATGCCATTTGCAGTTGGAAAGAGCTCCATTATACTCTTTGAAATCCTGCTACTGCTGCCAAACTTTACAATACCCTTGACCACATTTAGACCACCAGCATACTGAGACCACTGTCAAACATGCAGACCAACTGCCTTTTTCTTATTGGTTCCCCATCTACCCATTTCTTTTCTTATCTTATATGTAAATTGAAAGCTTTCTTGGGCAGAGGTGTTTTCCCCGCTGTGTTTGTACAGTACAAGGACAATGTGGCCCTTGTTCCCAATTAGAGTTTTACATTTGTTAATACAAATGACAATTAGCCTACACAGGTCTAATATAGTGTCAGCCAAAACGCAGTTAGTTCTTCAATCTTTTCTGCCCTACTGATCAAGCACTATTTTCTATGGTTATAGCCAGGTTGATGAATATGTTAATTGATTTTATATACCAACTAGCCTACAGTAAAGTTTTTCATAGAAATTAAATAGCAAGGTCAAACCTGATTGTGTTTTATTCATAGGCCAGTTCTGTGACACAAATATCAAGTGTCCTGTTCCACCACACTCTTCCTTGGTGACCTTGGACAAGTATTTTAGACTCTGTTTTTCAGACTATCCTCAAAATGGTGTTGTGAGGATTTGAAGATACCATGGCAGCAGATGGCCATATAACTACCAGAGAGATTGAGAGAGAGAATTCCAAGCAATGCAGTAAATGGTTTGGTTGAAGCTGAATCTTAG